CTCTCGCGCCACGGCAACCCCTGCTCTCTTCCAACCGGCCGTAGCGCACCCCCCTCCCCAACACACCACCTCTCCCAAACTCCCACAAACACACATGCAAAGGCCCTGAACGCGTACGTTGAGCAGCTGGGCCGCGGCGCCGCGCCCGGCGCCGCGCGGCTGGAATTCTGGGTCCGCGACGGCCCCGCCTCCCCCAACCTCTCGCGCGTCGCGGCCGACTTGCCGGCCGGCGGCGCCCTCGAGCCGCTGTTTTACTGCTTCGGTCTCATCTCTGACGCTGAGCTGGCGGCCGGCCTGGCGGGCGGCGGCGGGCGGGCGGCGGTTGACACGAACTTCATATCTTGGCTGCGGGACACTGTTGAGGAGGCTGTGCTGATGGCGGAGCGCCACGAAGACATGAAGCAGCGCATCCGGGAGGCGCGCGCGTCCATTGAGCACAAGCACAGGCTCGCGTCGCTGCAGGTAAACACGCGGGAGTGGAGGCCGCGGCGCGCGGGGTTGGGGAGGGGGGGTTGCGCTGCTTAAGGGTGGCCGGACAATGTGCGAGGGCGGAGGGCCCCTCCGCTGCACGCTCTGCGGGAGCATCGGCCCGGAGCCCCACGGTCGGCCGCTCGCCACCTGCGTCTGCCATCTCTGCACCTCAACGCCCCGTTCGCCCCTCCACCACCCGGTCCCTCCCCTACGCCATCGTTCACTCCCACCCCCTCGCTCACTCGGTCATCCCCCGCCACCCCCCATCCGCGCCGCAGGTCGGCTCTGAGTTCTCCGCCAACCCCTCAGAGCAGCAGCGCCAGCTCGAGGCGCTGCGCGTGCTGGACGCCGCCCTCGACAGCCTCACAGCCGAGGACAGGGTCGACTTCTCGGGGCTCAACTTCCATGCGTACCACCCAGACACGCCCCCGATGGCCGGCGGCGGCGGCGGCGGGCCCGCGGCGGTGGCGACGATGGGGGATGGGGTCGGGTACGTGTCGGACGACGGCTGCCTGCACGTAGTGGCGGACCGCCACACGCTCAGGTGAGTGCGGAGG